TCTTAGCCTATTTGATGGTTTCAGAATGCAAGAAAATTAGGGCCACACAACAGGTTCGACTTCAGGACTTGAGGAGAGTCACATGTTTGGGTCATATGACCGTCCAGCCTGAGTTAATCCAGAGAATAAGGGAAACTCAGTCAGCTAATCCTGCCCTAGTAGCCCTCAAGAACGATGCAGAACAGGGAGTTAACTCAAAATTCTGAGTCTCCGCCGATGGGTTACTCCGATTTCAAGATATGGTGTGTGTTCCAGGTGACAGTGAGTTAAAGAGAGACATCATGATAGAGGCCCATAGCTCAAAGTTTGCTATGAATCCCGAAAGTACTAAAATGTACCAAAGCATGTGACCCCGGTTTTGGTGGAATGGGATAAAAAGAGACATAGCTGACTTTGTGTCAAAATGCTTGGTACGTCAGCAGGTCAAGGCAGAGGATCAGCTCCCAGACGGGTTACTTCAGCCTTTACCGATCCTAGAGTGGAAGTGAGAACATATCACAATGGATTTCGTGACAGGGTTACCTAAGGCACGCTCAGGACATGATGCCATTTGTATAGTTGTTGACTGGCTTATCAAGTCTTCCCACTTCTTGGCCATCAGGACGATCAATCCTTTGGACAAGTTGGCAAGAATGTATATCCGGAAAATAATCAGATTGCATGGAGTTCCAGTGACAGTGGTATCTGACAGGGACTCCGGGTTCACTTCTCGATTTTGGAGTAGTTTTCAGCAAGCCATGGGAACGAAGCTGTCCCTCAGTACTGCCTTCCACCCTTGGACTGATGGACAGTCAGAAAGGACAATTCGTACACTTGAGGATATGCTTTGAGTTTATGTTCTTGACTCCGAGGGCCATTGGGACGACCCTCTACCCCTGATAGAGTTCGCCTACAACAACAGCTACCAAACAAGTATTGGCATGGCTCCGTATGAGGCATTATATGGGCGCCCATGCAGATCGCCAATTTGTTAGGAAGAAGTGAGTGATAGAAAATTATTCGGCCCAGAGCTGATAGAGGAGACTACATCTAAAATAGTTAAGATCAAGAAGAATATTTAGACGACTTAGAGTAGGCAGAATAGTTATGCGGACACCCGGAAGAGAGATTTAGTGTTTGAGGAAGGCGACTGAGTATTCCTTAAGGTCACTCCTTTTAAAGGAATCAGTAGGTTCGGCAAGAGGGAGAAACTGAACCCCCGATTTATTAGACCATTTGAAGTCTTATACAGGATTAGTACTGCCACCTATAGACTAGCACTGCCTCCAGAACTATCTAAGGTCCACAATGTGTCTCATGTGTCTATGCTGCATAAGTACAACCCGGACCCTTCTCATGTCTTGGCCCACGAACCTCTTCCACTCCGGGAGGATTTATCCTATGAGGAAGTACTAGTCGGCATTGCGGATCGAAAGAGCAGATTACTCCGTAACCGGGAGATATCCTTTGTGAAGGTTATATGACAGAACCACACACTAATGGAGGCCACATGGGAGGTAGAATCAAACTTTAGAACCTAGTACCCCTAGCTGTTCGATCGAGAGTAAGATGTAAATTTGAGGGACCAAATTTCTTTTAAGGGGGCGAGAGTTGTAACACCCAACATTTTATTTTTTTATTTTTATTAATTATTATTATTATTATTTAAATGATTTTAATTTAATTTATTTAATGAAAATAATAATAATAATAATAATAATAAAAAGGGTAAAAATTGGTTAGGAATTTAATTAAAAATAATTTTGGGAAAAAAAGGATGAAAATTTAGATTCTGGGGGTATTATTGAAAGAAAAATCAGAAATCAGGGGTCAAAACGTAATTTAAAAAAGTTACGCCACGTCAGCTGCCCGGTCAGCAGCCCCGACCAACCAAGACGCGTCAGGTGGCAGAGACGCTAACACAGGAGGCCACGCGGGGGGGGAGCCACGTGGGTGATCCACGTGCCTGCGATCAAATGGCTGATATATGTTCCTGCACGCACGGAC